ACATGTTCTTTAAGCAACTGAAACAGTAAAATTAAGAAAAAATACTTTTTTTTAGCTGTTTAGGAGATAGCTACCACATTTGGAATCCTTACGTGGGATTAGGATAATTAAGGGACTTAACTACTCAGCAAGTGAGAGAGAAAATGTAAGAAAGTGTTTTTCTAAATATTACTATTTCTGCTATAGATAGTAGATAACTACCTAGTTTGGTATTTTATCATGTGATATCACTATTTGGGATATAAAATGAGGGCACTGTGTAATAGATAGCTCCCCTAATCTGGTACCCTGATGCGGGATTGACCTACTTAGAATACCAAATTTGCACTGTTTAGCAGATAGCTCCACTAATTTAGGACCCTGATGCAAGACTGCCCTACTTAGAATAACAAATTAGGATGCTGTTTAGCAAATAGCATCCCTAATTTGATACCCTGATGTGGGATTGCCCTATTTAGGATGCCAAACTAGGGAACTACACCGCACACATAGGTAAGTGACAGTGTATATGACTGTGTGGTGTGTTTGGGCAAATAACTGTGCACGTATCGATAACATTAAATTGGATATTACTGTGTGTATGCATTGGCAAATAAAACATCACTCAAGTTTTGTATCTTAAGTAGGACAATCCCACATCTTTTATGAGCAAGGTTTTTTGGCACTTTTGAAATGTGATTTAATGGTTTCACTTTAGTGCACACATACATATAATATATTGTTTCGTAAATGACAGTTTTCTTTCGATACTCTATACGTACACAAAACACAACACTAAGTATAAATAAAATAATTAAACATATATTTTTACTATTTTGGTGGAATTTTTACACAACAAATGCAATTAATGAAAACTAACTCAAAGGAGAATAATTATTAAAACGCCCCTTGGATTTCAGTTAATTTTTTTTAAGCTATAGAATATATTGCAAGGAGTAAAAGGTCTGAAAAGCCCCTGACAGTGTCTCCCTGCAGACTGTGATCTGAGATATCCCTCTCATGCTGCAACCACCTATTAAAGAATGCTCACAGAGGGCTCTGTACTGTGTAAGCTGAGAAATCCCTCTGCTGATACTAGCACTGATGTCAGCAGAGTGAATCCCTCTGAGCTATGGTTAGGGTTAAATGGACACTATAATCACCAGAACAACTACAGCTTAATGTATTTGTTCTGGTGAGTATAGTCAATCCCTGCAGGCTTTGCAATGTAAATACTGTTTTATCAGAGAAAAGGCAGTGTTTACATTGCAGCCTAGGGGAACCTCCAGTGACCACCTCCCAAACAGCCACTAGAGGTGCTCCTTGGATCAGTGTGGTAAAGTGTGCAGCACTGATGTTCAGTGTCTCCACCCTCTGCATGGAGATGCTGAACTTTCCCCATAGAGATGTGTTGATTCAATGCATCTCTATATGGAAATGCTTATTGGCCAGAGCACTGGGAAAGCATTGTGATTGGCTGAGATCATTAGTTCTGGTGACGTCAGCCAAAGAGGCGGATCAGGAGCATGACCAGCACCAGCGGACCCATGCGGTGCTGGCATAAAAGTAAATTTTCTAGCTTTTTAAGAAGGGACAGGGGGGCCAGCACCCTAAATAGTGTTTTTAACACTATAGGGTCAGGAATCCACATTTATATTTCTTACCCTATAGTGTTCCTTTAATGTTAGGGTTAGTGTTGGTGTATTGTAAGAGTTATTATTATTTTTAACCCCTTAAGGACACAAGACATGTGTGACATGTCATGATTCCCTTTTATTCCAGAAGTTTGGTCCTTAAGGGGTTAAAGTGCCAACAAATTCCATAGCGCTGTACAATAGGTAGACTATTGGCAACAAGATGAACAGATGAACAGCGGGTGTTGAGAGTGCTGCTCAAACAAGTTTACAGTCTAGAGGGAGTGGGGTAAAGTGGCACAAGAGGCAAGGTTAGGATGTATTTCATGCATAGGTTGCTAGTATACTTTACAATGAAGGATTCATTAATTGGATGATACAGTTGCAAGAGAGGAAGCAGGGTGGGTTAACAAGGGAAAGCTATTAACTGTTTATATGCTTTTCTAAAGAAGTGGGTTTTTAATGATCTTTTGAAGGAACTGAGACTGGGTGAGAGCATAACAGAGCAGGGAAAGGTGCAGCCCTGTAGGCTTGAAAGCAAATGTCAAAGGTGCGAGTACTAACAGAGAATAGATGCAGAGTTAAAGCTGAGTAAGAGTTTTAGCTGTTTATGATAAGGGATAATGTTAGGTTAGAGTTAGGTGTAAGGTTAGGCTAGGTTTATGGTTAGAGTTAGTGTAAGCATAGGGTTGGTGTAGGGTTAGAGATAGGGTTGTGTAGGGTTAGCGTTAACTGCCAAATTTAATTTAGATGCTAGACATATGGGGCATTTAATAATCAAAGCTAATATGTGAATCTATTTTGAGTTATTTTTCTTTAGTTGCACTTGACGTATAAATTTTTTTTATAAGTACAAATATTTCTTTCTTCATTTAACCCCCAGTTTTAGATTTTATTCTTGTGTTAGCTGTATATATAGATTAATAAAAGAAATGCATTTATTTCCTTTAAAACACAATATATAATATGTATGGGTGCAATTAAAAGAAACCAAAAAATACAAAAGTGTATATTTGTAGAAAGAAAACACCCAAAGCATTTTTCCTCTTTCTATTTAACTATTGTATCACGAATTTATGCCAAATCTGCTTTTTACTTTTTTTTCATTTTCTACTGTTTTGACCCAAAATTTATATTCTGTTCCTTTCTCCTGTGTACAGCAAAACCTGCCCTCTAGATCACATTTTTATTATAGATATTTTAGGGTCAAATTACCAACATTGTGACAGACATTGATAACAGAGGTACTGGGCCCTTTTGGAACAACATAGCAATCATCACCTGCCCTTTACTCCGATCATGGCACATTATTTTCAAATGAAATAAAGTAATAATAATAACACAACCTGAACTATTTAATATAGGACATTTTCAGGTCTTGACTGTTTTATCACCAATTCCAATTGAATGTAGCATTTTTTTTTTTTTCACGTGCATTTTACATTGTGGGACTACTTTGGAGAATCCCAAAATGTATTATGCTACATCTTTTAAGTACAGAAATAAATTTAACCATTTGCCTGGTGTTTGTGGAACTTATAGAGTCAAAATACAGACATGCCCTAACATTTACATGCCTCTTTATATGCATCTCAGAGACTCTGGTGAAATGACACTATTTATGCTACCACACAGACCAGCATCAAACTGTAATACAATTTGTATCCTATCTAACAGTAATTGAACTCAGCCCAATCTAAACCCAACCAACACATATCCCAAACTTTGCTAAACCTTAACTATCCCTTCCAAACTCAACCATCAGCTAAGGCATGTCATCGCAATGATTGACTGCCATAGTGATCAGATAGCCCAGGAGCCCATCAATGACTATTACTCACAGGCATAATGTTCAACTTCACTAGTGGATCTGTGCTAGAGCCCGAGTGGCTTTTGTGCTCATGTCTGATTAGCCGTCTGGACAAATGTTGTCACAATGCAATGAATGATATCTCTGCACATCCACTCATTATACCTGATGATGTGAACTGCTACTGGGGCTAAACTGTACTAGCCTATAAGCCTAAATTGGTTCAGTCTTGTCTAGGTTTGAGAGGGACTCTCTGCTGCTCTTTGTCCTTGGATTTGCACCAATAAGCTACAGGAAGCTGAAAGGTGAATATTATTATTATTATTTATTTATTTGTTTATTTAACTTTTTTTTTTTTTGCTTATTTGAATTAATTATATATACAATTAATTAAAAATGTGACTCATTTTCAGTCTGGTGTTACTTTTAAAGTCTGTATTCTTTCCATACTTGACCATTTGCAAACAGTAGATGATAATTGGAAGCACAAATCCCGCTACTTGTGACATATTTCTTTCCTGTATCTTGCTGAACGTATTCAGGTACTTTAATTCTTCCATAATATAATTAGACTACTTTTTTATATTACTCCAAACTGTGGATATTGAGCTATCTTACCTCTTCATGATACATTGTACTGTATCTTGTATAGCATGCACCAACATTTCTGTTCTAAATACTCTCTTTAATGTATGTCCTTCTGGAGACTTTAACAATGCTATATTTCACATTAATCCAGTGATACCAGACTGGTAGAGGAAATGGGATGGTTGAATCACAAGTCTACTTTCCTTCTTTGGCAAAGTAATATAAATATAGATAGCAGTACTTTACTTTTCATGTTATGTATATTTCATTATAATGGGGTGAGATTGCATGGCTCCAGAATCTTTCTATTATAGTGTCTTCTTCTTCATCCCTTACTGAGTTTATCAATAATAACCATGTCATTTCATTATAAAAAATAAAAAAATAAAAAAAATAAAGATAGTGTGCGATACCAACTGGCCTTTTCTACAAATGAATAAAAAATAGCTTGAGTTATATCACAGATTTTTAATAATGTTCAAAAAAGTACCCGACACAATAAACACCAGTATAACATAAGATTAACTGGAAAAAAACAAAAAAAAAACAAGCATCATATTTAAATTTTTGATTTTTTTTAAAAATAAATTACATTTTTTTTACAGATACAAAGCTAAATTAAGCAAATTGTACATTTTATGAAAAAAAACATGATCAGTTTACGTCAAAATAAAACAATACATTCTCTATTGTATTTATTAGAAGCAGCAACGACATAAAAAAAGAACAAATATTCACAAATTGTTTAGAAACAATGTTTTTCGTTTTTGTTGTCATTAATACAGTAGTTACTTGCGAAATAAATTACAAGCACTTTATAGCTCACATACATGGTTTTGTAAAATTGGCACCATCATTTTAAACATATACATAATGATTTCTAGTAATAAATACCACCCGGTATGCTGGCATTCTAGACAGATATGTTTTTTTTTATATATTATGTTATGTATGGTATGTCTACATTTGGCGTATTAGACATGCTAGCCTATCCATTGTGATAGTTTATTATTAAGACGTAACATTGACACCCAATAAACACAAATTCATTACCCACAACACGTTACCTTTCTTTATCTCAATAGACAGGTTTCTTTGTCACAGTATAAGTTGAGAGGAAATAGAGAATCAATCCATTTTAATTGATCAATAAGCTTATGATAGATATAGATTCTAATAGCTAAGCAACACTTTGAGCAAGCATATTCACTAGACTGTCACAGGGAATCATTTCAAAAGCATCACTATTACTGCAGTTGGGATGAGATCGCAATGATTCCGTGCATAAGATGAGATTTTTTTTTATTGCAGTGTCTACTTAGATTTTTATATCTTCATCTTATGTAACAGCTGAGCACCAAATAATATTATGCAGTGTTTATGTAAGTAGTAAAATGCAAATATTCTGTTTTGACTGCATCCGAGGAGACAGCTTACTTTTGAAATCTACAGTCACAATGGGTAAAAACTACGTATATTTGGGTCGAAAGTTTCAAAACTCCCTTTTTATGGTCATATTCCTGGAGCATTTCAGAGATGTGGTTTCTAATCAAGTCACGAGGCACAGCAGCATTCCAATGGAACAGAATTAAAAATATAGACTTTGAAAGAATTGGAAATACCCACTGGGATAGAAATGGAAACACCTAAATTCTTGACTGTTGATGTGCATGAGAGACTTGGTTGGAAACCACCGTTTTGAAAGATGTGGCAGTCAATGTGTTTGAACACAAGCTGAGTACAAACACGTACTGGATAAAGGTCAGCCATAGTCTTTAACGAATTAAGAAAATTGTTCACTGAGCATTCAGTTACTTGGCCACAATATCGCTCAGGTTGGGTAGAACTTGGCATACGCTACGTCAAGTCTCTTTTTAAGAGTTCTACTAGTCCATGCTTCGTTAGTTGTGCATAATTTAATTATTGTGTTCTGTTTCACAGCATTAAAATGTGTTTTTTATCACTCTGTAGTCTTACCTCCGAACAAAACAAGTTCTCCTATGGTGAGTTTGATTGCCAAAAGCAAGATTGTTACAGCTCACTATGGATGCCCGACAAATCTTTCAAGAGTGAAGTTAGCATAAATGATGGTTTATTGAACAGACCCCATTTAGTCAAAGTCAACATGATATTTTTTATATTTTTTTGCATGTGTTTATGTCTTTCCCCTCGATAATAGGTTCAATTCAATTCAGGTGCAAAAAAACATGTGTACACAGATGCAAATGCAATTATTGAACTGTGACATATAGGTCTCATTTAGTTTGTGTTAATCAGCATCAGAAATGATTCCAAAATGTTAGTTATAACTTTAAAAAAACGTAAAAAAACATCAAATTATTTATTTACAAAAATTACCAGACTTCAATAGTCACTTGTGTAGATAAATCATTCGAAAATATTTTTTTAACACATTGGAATAATTTCGGATTCAAAGAAATTAAATCAGAATATGTTAAATAGTGTCAGTAGCTCTGCAAACTGTTTACCATCAGCTAGATTAATGATAGTACTGATTCAAAATAACCTATTAATTTATTAATATCATTATTAATAATGATGACACTCCCAGAATTTTTTTATAGTAGCAAATATCAAAATTGATTGTTAATTTTTATCTAAATGTTTACCATTTTTACCAGCTAACTTGAATTTTGTGGACTTATTATCAACACTAACTCCTATTTATGCTTCATTTTTCCTTTTTAAAGTATATTTCTATTAGAGTGATTTGATTTTAGAATTAAAAACCCATTTGTTGAGAAATGTAGTAACAGGAGATGACATGTTTAGCTAAATCATCTCCCTTCTTTCACACCTCCATCCATGATTATTTGAACCAATCATCTTATCTTCCGCTTCAATCAGATAGAACCTTCTCACTGGTGTACAGATTTGGTATATTTATAATAAACTTGATGTGGTATATTTATGATAAACTTGATGTTGGTTTCTTTACATATACAGCTTTATGGAAATGTAGTAACAAAACCACTATTAGGCGTACTGGCGTTAGCTCGAATTAACAATCTTTTAAGCATACATACATATACATTATCAGGAGTTGGATCCAAAACACATAGTAATGGGCAGTTATCATGACTTGTTATATGCTTTAATTGTTCTGCCTAGTCAGTGGTGTATCCTGGTTTTGTGCTGCCCTAGGCAGGAC